GGAAGGTGTTGTGTGCACGGGGGGGTGGTGTTTGTGTACACTACTACACAGGGTGAGTGTGTACACCCACAGGGGTGTTGTGTGTACACCTACAGGTGTGGTGTGTGTGTGCACCTACTGTGTGTACACCCACAGGGGTGTGTGTGTACACCTACCTACAGGTGTTGTGTGTACACCTACAGGGCGGTGTTGTGTGTACACCTACAGGGGTGTGTGTGTACACCCACAGGGGTGTTGTGTGTACACCTACAGGGGTGTTGTGTGTACACCTACAGTGTGTACACCTACAGGAGGTGTTGTGTGTACACCTACAGGGGGGTGTTGTGTGTACACCACAGGCGGGTTGTGTGTACACCTACAGGAAGGGTGTTGTTTGTACACCCACAGGGGTGTTGTGTGTACACCTACAGGGGGGGTGTGTGTACACCTGTGTACACACCCACAGGGAAGGGTGTTGTGTTGTGTGTACACCACAGTGTGTGTGCTACTACACCTGTGTTGTGTGTACAGTGTTGTGTGTACACCTACAGGAAGGGGTGTTGTGTGTACACCCACACGGGGGTGTGTGTACACCTGCAGGGAGAGGGGTGTTGTGTGTACACCTGTGTGTGTACACCACAGGGGGTGTGGTTGTGTACACCTACAGGGAGGGGTGTTGTGTGTACACCACAGGGAGGGTGTTGTGTGTACACCTACAGGGGTGTTTTGTGTACACCTACAGGGGAGTGTTGTGTGGGGAGTGTGTGTGTACACCTACAGGTGGGGGGGTGTTGTGTGTACACACTGTTACAGGAAGGTGTTGTGTGTACACCTACAGGGAAGGTGTGTACACTACATGTGTACACCTACAGGGGTGTTGTGTGTACACCTACAGGTGTTGTGTGTTCAGGGGGTGTTCTGTGTACACCTACAGGAAGGGGTGTTCTGTGTACACCTACAGGAAAAGGAAAATAATAATAAAAATAACGAAAATAGACAGATATAAACAAAGACAAAACAGACAGACAGAAGGAAAACAAACAAAAACAATAACCACAACCACCACAACAACAACCACCACCACAACAACAACCACCACAACAACAACGACAACCACAACCTAGGCTGGGACGTGTGAAAGAGACAGTCAAGATGTTCCGTTAAGTCGTTAGCATGTTGTTAAAGGCCGGTATTAACAACCCATCATAAAGGTGTCGGTTGTGTTGGTCTGTCTTCGGTCCAGCGCCTCTGACCTCACTAACCAGAGTGACCACAAGACACACACATACACACACACAATTTCCTGTACACATACATACACTCATACATACATAATAACAACCACACCCTGAGTTAACGAATTGCATGACCCTGTGTTAAGGAATAGTCCGAGAAGACGGGACAACTCGCCAACTGCACTGGCTAACCATTACCCCGGAATACGATCCACAAATCGATTAACATTCAGGTCCCCAATTACTGCTGGGTAGACAGAGGCAAATGGCGTAAAAAAAACTTGCCCATAGTTTCACCCTGCCCGAGGAGAGCATCCTGACCATTACACCGCAGGTCGCCATATACATACATACATACATACATACATACATACACAAAAGGTATGTATAGAAGTGAGGGATGGGCCACTTTGACGAATGCCAGTGAGTGAATGAATGAATGAATGGATGAATGAATGAATGAATGGATGAATGAATGGATGAATGAATGAATGAATGAATGGATGGATGAATGAGTCAATGAATTAATAAACAACACCATCCCTCCATAAAATTAACACCATCAAGATATAACATAAACTACTATACAAGTAAGTCAACATTAACCCCCCACCTCTCCCTCATTCTCACCTCTCCCCACTTCACCCTCTTCACCCCCACCCCCAAACTGCTCACTACACCACACGATCAGCACCTCCCTGATCCCTTATCCCCGCGTGAGGGCGACAACAGGGCCACAACAAGGTCTTGGGAGCCCTTACCTTTACCCTAACCTACCCCTAAAGGCCATGTGTGAAGAGCTAATAGGTTAAAATTGACCACTACAGATGGTATTGGGTTACGACTTGTGGTTGGTTGGGGGAGGTTGGTTGGGGGAGTTTGTTGGTGGGGAGGTTGTTGGTGGGGAGTTTGTTATGGGGAGATGGGAGGTAGGTAGGGTAGGTATATAATGGGGGAGTAAGGAAGAGCGCTGCTAATGGGGGTAGGGGAGAAGTGAGTGGGGAGATAATGGAAAGGTAGCTGGGGAGGTTGTGATGAGGGGGGAGGGAGGTAGGTAGGTGGGGAGGAGAACGCAAGTGGGGTGGTGAGGAGGGAGAAGAAAAGGTAGGTGGTGGGGGAGGTAGGAAGGTAGGTAGGGGGAGGTAGGAAGGCAGGTAGGGGAAGGTAGGTAGGGAAGGTAGGTGGGTAGGGGGAGGTAGGTAGGTGGAGGGGGGTGACTTTGTGTTCAGTGTCGAGGTGGATTTAATTTAAAGTTTTATGGGCTTAATTTCTGGGGTATGTAAAATATGCAAACTTTTGGTGAGAGGGAGGGTGAGAGGAGGAGGAGAGAGGGGAGGAGGAGGGGGATAGGAGGGTTGGTGTTTTTTTTGTGTGTGTTTTGAGGAAATTCGTGATTTACTTGTTTTGGTGTAAGTTTTTTGTTGACTTTTTGTACACACGATAAAGACTCAACACACACACACACACACACACACACACACACACACACACATATATGACCAAACAAAATTACCTCCTAATCTAATTAAACACCTGACCAGCCTACATTAACACCTTTGTAATTACCGTCATAAGGATAGATAGATAGATAGATATTTAAATAGATTGACATATTAATTCACCATAAATTGTCATTCAGTCACAATATCACCATCATATCCATCACCACGACCACCATTAACGACACCACTATCACCCCTACTGACTGCCCCGCACCGCACCGCCCCGTTGCGCCCCGCCCCGTACCGCACTGTTGTTTATAATGATTCTTTGAGTGTTAATATTTACATTCAACACCATCCCTTCTTTACCACTATATTTATTATCCTCTCTCTCTCTCTCTCTCTCTCTCTCTCTCTCTCTCTCTCTCTCTCTCTCTCTCTCTCTCTCTCATCTTTCCTCCCATTCCCCTTCTCTCTCTCTCTCTCTCTTCTACCCTTCACTTCCTTTCCTCTCTCCCTATTCCTCCTCCCTTTCCCCCTTTTTTTCTCTCTACCTTACCTTTCCCTTCATCCCTTCCTTCTTTCTACCCTATCCTTCCCTCCATCCTCCTCTTCCTTCTTCCCCTCCTCCTCTCCTCCCCTCCCCCTTCCTCCTCTTCATCATTATTAATATCCAAGAAATCAGGACATTTACTCACGCTTACCCTCGGACTCAAGCACAACATTGACTTATATGCCCCTTCACTAACAGACCCTGATAAAAAAAGGTGTAAAAAAAGGAGCAATTTAACCTTTTACAATATCCACTTAGGGAAAGAATATAAAAAAAAACACAATATAATCTCTTTACGATAACTATTTAGGGAAAAAATACAAAAAAAGAAAGAAAATATCTATAATATACCATAAGAAAAAAAATATATACCCAAAATAATAAAATATCTTTACCGTAATTCCTTTAAAAAATTAAAAAATAAAATATTAAGGGATAAAAATCTAATAGAAATAAAAATACCTCGACAATAACGTCTTTTAAGAAACACCAACAATTTTAGGAAAATTTATAAATATTTTTAACATAATCTCTTAAAAAAAACGTAAAAAAAAAATCAAAGGGGAAAAAAATAAAAATAAAATTCTCTTTACAATAACCTCTTTATAAAAAAACCCGCTGGGATGGAGTGCGTCGGGCTGGAGTGCGTCGGTTTCTTTTATCGGTGACGGGTTAGTGTCTAATTTATTGTGAGTGGGAATATTACATTGTTCTTAAAACAAGCACCGGCACCTCGGGCGTGGATAGATCATGTTGCCGGCTTGTAGGGCTTGGCGTTTTAAAAGCTGGTAAGGGAGGGAGGGAGGGAAGGAAGGAAGGAGGGAGTCGAGAGAAGGAGGGAGGAAAGTAGGATGGAAGTGGAGAGGAAGTAATGTGGGTGGGTGGTAGGGATGGAAGTAGGGAGGAAAAGGAGGAAAGTAATGGTGATGATGTGCACTGAAGTGAGAGAGAGAGAGAGAGAGAGAGAGAGAGAGAGAGAGAGAGCGAGAGAGGCAGAAGTCCACCTTGCATGAGACCCGCGCCGTGTGTACTCCGTGCTGGCTTATCATTACCAATTTTACGGGCAGCATATGAGGCAAAAAAATTAATAAAGGAGAAGAGAACTATGCGGCGTAAAATGTGATCTGAGGGGCAACTCTCACTCTTGTAGGAGAAGTGCTCATGGCTCACTGTCCCTCACACACCCTGGGGAAATATGGGCTTTATTTGAGTAGTATTTAAGGCCCAAGTTACAAATGATCCTGTCCAAAATATGGACCAAACGGGCGGGACGGTAAAAGGCCCTTGTGGTCTTACCTGTAATTATGGCCCCCAGATGATAATTATCTACTTAGGGACGTATTACAAAACTTGTCTTGAGCACACCTTTGGTTGGTAGCCAATCACGGATCTTGTCGAAATTTCAGCGAGCCAATCCCAAGAGTCATTTAATACTTAAGTGCCCAATCACTCAGCTCATTTGATATTTATACCCTTCAGCTCAAGATGAAGAACGAGTTTGTAGTCGAGGCTTCGAATCCCACGTGAACCTTCTTCTCCCTTCCCTGAGATCTATGTTTATCATTTTTCAGCTCAGGAGAAAGAAACGACATGAACCCGAAGCTCCGAACCACAAGAATAAACTCCTCTTTTAAAGGGTTGTATTTACGGCTTTCAAACCAAAAGAATAGATCTCACGATACATCAACTCCCCGATCAATGCCTCTTCATACCCCCCTCCAGGTGCGGGGAATACACAACACACATCAAAATACTAACACATCTATAACACCAAAAAGAAAACCGACTCACCTCTCGAAGTCTGTGAGCCTTGATGAGTCTCTGAAGCCTTTAGCGAAGGGATTACTGTCGATCTTGAGTTTGGTGATGAGTTGGTTCTGGTAAGCGGTGACGGCGGTAAAGACGGTCTGGGGGAAGATGTAGGTACGATGGTCCTCCTGATCCAAGTCATTGATGGGTCCAGAGAAGCCTTCCTTTAGGCGTACCAAGTGGATCCTCGGCTGGTACCGGTGCATAGAGTTCAACACGATCTGTATGAGAGAGTGAAGAAGAGAAAGGGTTAGATATATATACTGTATGTCTGTGTGTGTGTGTGTGTGTGTGTGGGAGGACGTGGATGCTGATAGATGACTCTCTCTCTCTCTCTCTCTCTCTCTCTCTCTCTCTCTCTCTCTCTCTCTCTCTCTCTCTCTCTCTCTCTCTCTCTCTCTCTCTCTCTCCCTCTCCTTGTACTTAATGACCTATCTAACTATACTCAGTACCTTGTCCATCAACATACTTTTCGTTACATTTTTTTACTCAACATGACAATACATTAAACTGAATTAATTTGACCGTATTAAAAGCACCAGAACAAACAACACCTTTATTTTTTTTTAATACATAAATATGATAAGTTTTCATTTGTTAGAAGCTGAAAGGTAAAGTGGGAGGAGAGAGAGAGAGAGAGAGAGAGAGAGAGAGAGAGCACAGTCAACATATGAGACCAGTGGTTGACGGTGACAACACACGGACACACCCAGGAAGGAACTGCCATCCACTGTAAATGAGTCGGAAAGTCTTTCATTGCGGCTTCATCCCCACGCACACAGCTCCTCCGTCTCCGGCGTCATTTGGCGTACTGGCGCTGTCAAGTCGGGCTATTTCGCGCCTAATGGGGCTATAATTCCTTGGATTTTGTTGGCCGAAAACATAGAAGCGGCGATCACATTTAGTTGTGTTTGAGAACATAAGTCAACGGCATTTGTTTAACCAGAGAGCGAGGTGGAGATGGTGATGATGATGGTGGAGGAGGTGGAGATGATGGTGGAGATGATGGTGGAGAGAGAATAAAACCATACTGTACTGAGAGTTAAAATGTATATGTTGGCAATGTTTCTCCTGCTAGGGTTGACAGCTCGGGGTGGAGGGGGGGAGTCTCACTGGGTTCTTTATCTGGCTATTTGTGTCACTTACAATGTTGTCAAGGTTCTTAAAGGCCCGAAATACTTGAGTTTGGGATGGAGGAAGAAAATTAGAATTCCATTTTTTTTTTCCTTTTATATATTATGGCTGAACTAAACGTAGATGAGAGAGTATTCGTAATTTATCTATTCATTCTTTTATTTACATTTCGTCTGTGTTCATCTTTGTTCTTCGTTTTCTTCTTCTTTCTATGTTTCTTATTCCATCTGTTGATCGTTGACTCCGTGTCTCACCTTCGACCCCTGGGTTGTCCACTTCGGCGCCTCAACCTCTATACTACCAAACATTCGACTCTCTCTCTCTCTCTCTCTCTCTCTCTCTCTCTCTCTCTCTCTCTCTCTCTCTCTCTCTCTCTCTCTCTCACCGCCAACACCATGACTAACACCATCAACACCACCACCAACCAAGACCACCCACCACCGCAACACACCAGTTCTGTATCACCACCACCACACTACACCACCAGCGGCCGCCTCAGACTCCCCTAAATGGTGAGTGGATCAAATTTTGCGATGCGTCTTGCCCTTAATAATAAAGTCAGAATTATGGTGATTAACTGTCATGCGCAGACGTGGGTGATCTCCAGGTGGACTAGCGCGGGCGCACTGGGCCATTATCTCCGCACTGATGGTCTCGAGACAGCGCATTATCTCGCAGTTTTGATACCTGGGAAATATCTGCGCGGGATATTGGTGATATTGTTATTTATCTTATTTATTTTTTAGGTTTTGTGTTGTGCTGGTCTGCCCCCTCGAGGAGAGAGGGAGGGAAGGAGAAGAGGAGAGAGGGAGGGAAGGAGGAAAAGGAGGAGAGGAGAGGAGAGAGGGAGGGAAGGAAGAGAAGGAGGGAGCGTTTCCTTGAGCCTATAGTAACATGTAAACAAATTAGTACCCCCCTCCCACCCCACCCACATATACAAACATTATTCAAACGACAACAAACACAAGAGCTTGAATAAAATTGATCACTGCGCTTAAGAACTACATAGATAAGTCATATATATATACACTGCGCATCTCCGGATACTCTATAGTGATCTGCGCATGGACCTATAGTGATCACTGCGCCCTCAACCTGACCACCCTATACGCTTCAAAATCCGATATAGATAGATGATATAGATAGGTAGATATAGTTTGAGATGATACGAGGATATAGAGTGTTATATGTACTCTCTCTCTCTCTCTCTTTCTCTCTCTCTCTCTCTCTCTCTCAACAGAGGGTCCACGGCACAACACACTGAGAGAGAAAACATAATTATAAGACACAGGGAAATAAATCATACGCCTTACATTATCTCCCCTCCCCCCCCCACCCCCTTGTCTCTCCCACCTATCTCCTCTCCCTCCCACCTAACCTCCCCACACCCCTCTCACGACCCCAACTCCTCCCCACTCCCATGTCACTCCCCACAACTCCCATACCGTCACCCCTTTGCCGAGGTATGAATGTTAAATGGGGGGTGGGGAGGGAGGTTACAGGATAGGGAGGTGGTGAGTAAAGTGTGGGGGGAAGATAGAAAATGAAATGATGGGTAGGAGAGAGAGAGAGAGAACGTATGTGTATGAGGAAGAAACGCTAAGAGAATGAAGTGAAAGGAATGAATAACAACGAAGAAGGAGAAGCAGAAGACACCCTCCTCCCCCCCCCCCTCTATACAGCCAGGCGTTGAGTTGTGACACACACTTTTATAATATCACCAGCCTGATGATGGTCACATGTTAGGAGGAGCTCGTCTCGTGACGCGGCTGCCATCCATCACTAGTTGAGTTACGGCGACGTGAGGCGTTCCTACACCATTCATTAGTAGATTAAATAATAATAATAATAATAATAATAATAATAATAATAAATAAAAATACGAAAAATAATAATAACAATAATAATAATAAATAATAATAATAATAATAATAATAATAATAATAATAATAATAACGATAATAATAACAAAATAATAATAATAATAATAATAATAATAATAATAATAAAAACATAAAATAATAATATATGTGGTTCAATCCTTCTCTACTGTTTTTACTCTGACAGAAATCAAGTTTACATACCGATAAATTAAGTTAAGTAAAAGAACGGCCTAAATCACCGAGCATTTTTCTGCCTCTGAACAGTTATGTCATTTTAACCCTAATGGGATTAAATTATTATTTATTTTATCTAAGTGTTTTTGTTTTATGTTTTATGTTCTTTGTTTATCTATGTAATGTTTGAATTTTTTTTTTTAATTCTGGAATATAGTTTTGAATGTTTTTAAATTTGTCTTATTTCCGTGATTTTATTCTGTTAATTATCTTTATTTTATTATACATTGATTTACATTCATTTTGTATATTATTGTAAGTTAGTTTATTTGTATTTACATTGATTCATTATATTGTATTAACTTTCCGATTTTATTTTTACGTATTATATTAAATTATTGTTCCCATTTTAACTGCTGGACTGATGTCATTCGGAAAATAATCTAATTACATAAACACACACACATCTACTCTACCTGCTCTCCACCCCTTTCCCTTTACCCCCCCCTCCCCACCCCCCCCCCCTTAAGCCCGCCTCGCTGCCAACTCGTAATATAATAAAACTGCGTGACCCATTTAATACTGTAAATGAATAATAACAGGTGGCATAATTCGTTGAGTAATGTCATCGTAGTAATTAACACAGGTAACTATATTACCTACCTACCTACCCTGCCTGGGGCCACCACCACCACCACCACTACCACCACAAGCCAGTCTCTCTCTCTCTCTCTCTCTCTCTCTCTCTCTCTCTCTCTCTCTCTCTCTCTCTCTCTCTCTCTCACCCATCCATGAATCACCTCCCACCCCCCCCAGTCTACCCTACCCCAGACACAAGCACGCACCGTAAAACGAGCTAAATTGCATTAAACATTCACACTAATTAAAAACGTATAGCAATAAACAAGACCTTGCTAAACCAGGTGACGGATGGAAGAACCGGGAGAAGGTCTTGGCGGCATTACCAAACCTCGAGGGGAACACAAGGCTAACCCACATGGGCGGTTGCTCAGGTTTCGTTCTGTCAGTCGCTGTAGGGAGGGGAAGGAGGAGGAGGAGGAGGAGGGTAGGTGTCACCGCGTCGCCAGCCCGCTAACTCTCCACTAGCTGCACCCTCACTACCTCGTGTTGTGTGTATTAAGTATCTTTTTTGATGATGATGATAGAAATAATAATGATGATGCTAATTGGGTAATAGGATGATGATAATAATAGTAATACCGATGATGATGAAAGTAATAATAATAATAATAATATTCTAATAATAACAAAAGTAATATAATAACATAGCGAAATGTGAGCAAAAAAAGGCACAAAACTTTATAAAGGGGTTAAACCGACTTAAAGAGGCAAGATTGTACCACTAATTTGAAAGTTTCGTCAATATATTTGCTTATTTAACAAGACGCCTTATTGAGCTTAAACACACAAATTACTCATGGCAAATTTTGTTCAGCAATATTAGACGACGAGATAAAGAAACACACACACACACACACACACACACACACACACACACACACACAAACACACACACATAATGGCGGATTGTTTTTTGCTAATTAGCTCTCAGGGGTCGGTGGGTGATACCTGGTCACCTGGGCTAATATATTACCTTTCCTGCTTCCTTCCTCTCCCTCCTTCCTCCCTCCTCTTTGTCCCCTCCCTAAACGCTCCTTCCGCCTCCCCCTCCCCAGATCCCTTCCACACCCTCCCCCCTCCTAGCCCTCTCCACCTCCTCCACTTTCCCCTCTGTACACATACACTCACCTCCCACTCAGTTTACCCTCTGTACCCCCTTCCCCTCTCCTCCTCACCACTCCTGTCCTATTTGTGTGTGTGTGTGTGTGTGTTAGGGGGTCAGATGTATCAGTAAATAGTATATAAGGGTCAAAGGAGGTCAAAGGTGAAGTTAGTGACCTGTTCTCCCAGACTCATAAGTTACCGCTGCTGCTGAACTTTGGACTGTCAGTGTTAATGTTGTGGTCGTTGACTTAGTGTGTGTGTGTGTGTGTGTGTGTGTGTGTGTG